AAAAAAAATGCTATATGACAACGACAGGCCGTCACTACCCAGAGTCAAAGATAACAGCAGAAAAACAAACGATCAAAAGGAGAAAGCATAATGAGTAATAGTAACAGAAGCAAATATGGTAGTTGTAGGAATAATAATGCTACCACCAGTTATAATAAGGGGAATTATAATTCTTAAATAGACTGAAGAAGAAGGATTTTACTATATTAAGAGCATGTCAAATGCACTGGTCGTTTAGAGTCCTCGTCCAACTCGGTGGGGTTTTTATGGGTCAGTTTAAGGTAGGCACATGGACAGGCACTGCATGCGATGAGAGGTGAAGAGGAGAGGGGATCGACTGATTTAGGAGTGCTTCGGTATGGTTTAGGTATGAAGATGAAGGTGGCTTCGAGGGGCAAGAGCTGGACAGGGCTCATTTCTGTCCAGTGATCGACTGCGATATGGATCGAGGCGGGATCATGTCCAACAGGTACTCCCTCTGCCGGTCTGCTAAGCTGGAGCTCTTATGGGCTCCGACAGCCGCTGGGTTCAGATAGGCGATGTTTAACCCTGTGGAGCAGAAGGACAACGTTCAGAGGAGATGCACTGTGTAGAGTTTAAGGCTCAAACATGTAAGCGACCTTTTGTTTTGTTGCTGTTGACATGAACTAACCTGACGCTCCGAAACTTCTTTTATTTTATACGTTTACTAGAATTGTTTTAAAAGTAAAGAAACAGCAATAAAACTAAATGGACACAGAGGTGGACTCAGCGAAACATCTGCGTCCTCTCGTTTGTTTGAATGATTGACCCCAGATAACCGTCACACCTGCCTCACTCTCACTCACATCCACGTAAACAAGACTGCACTCAGAGTTGTTCCCAGGCTTACTCCTCTCCAGTATCAGTCGACCCCACCCCTCCAACCCCAACACCCAATCATATGCTTTCTATAAAGCCACAGTGTAACTCCTCCTGACCTTCTGATAGCACGTCTCTGCTTAAGCTAATGTTAAAGACCTTGGTGGATGCTGATTTGATAGTTTCTGAGCTGTCGTGTTTACAGACAGAAAGACAAAACAACGTCCTGGGCGGAGCCAATAAACCTACGAATGGCTGATGTTGACTAAGATGCACGGCAGGAAACACACACACACACACACACACACACACACACACACACAGGGGAAAGGTGTGGGTACCTGGGATGTTGTAGATCTGCCGACGGTTGTCGTGCTGCAGTCTGTTACTGCTGCTGTTGCTGCCGCCTCCGCTGCCGCCACAATGCTTGGCGCTGGTCATGCCCATGAGGCTGCTGGCCACAGAGAGCTGGGAGGCCTGGGCGAAGTTGGACAGGACCCCTCGTGCCGAGTTCGACAGCCCCTGCTGCAGGGAGGCCTGAGGCTGGGACGCCTAAGAACC